ATGGTTGTTTGTCTGTGTGTGCCCTGCAATTGGCTGGCAACCAGTTCAGGGTGTCCCGCGCTTCTTGCCCAAAGACAGCTGGGATAGGCTCCAGCCTCTGTGAGGATATAGCGGATCAGAAAATGGATGGATGGATGGATGTACAGTATGTTATGCTTGATTAATTTCTGGCTACTCTGAGAAGCCATGCTTATCATCTCAATAGCCAGATGCACCTCATACTGCCGGTGGTAAATTCAGTTATCTCTTTTGCATTTTGTTTCTTTTTTTGTCAATTCATCATTTATCTATCCATCTACCCATCCATCCATCTTTCTCATAGCGGCATGCCGTCAGAGCCTTCAAAACCCCTACAGTGAACAGCTCTCCACTATCAGAAGCACAGATCTACATTTACAACATAAATGAAGTGGTAATAATTTATGTCCAACAGTCTTTTGTCTTCATTTCATCGCGTGTGTCTTAGCCACACGACTTCTAGTCATTTGTGTGTGTGTGTGGAGTTTTTCTTGTGGTCCTATTAGATTTCAGCTTCTATGTATTGCCATGCGTGTTACTTTGTCCAACGCCTTCAGAATCTCGAGTGCAGGCATTGGTGACACTTACACCACTGGAATCGCTCATTCTTCTTTTAGCCAATCAGAGATTTGCCTCTTTATGTCTTCTCTGCTGCCGTTCTCCATCCTCTCACTGGTTAAGCGACTATTGTGTTTACCGAAGCTTGATTTAGATGAGGGGTGCCCAACCTTTTTTGACAGGAGATGTACTTTTCAATCAACCAACCTCCCGCGATTGACCCACGCATACACACACGCACACGTGTGCGCACCCATACACACGCATGCATACGCACACCATCATGAGCAACAGCTATCACGGGCCCCTAACATGAACAAAACTGAAAAACAAAGTAGATATGAGAGTTTGTGAAAAGGAAATCACTGCCTACCTTAGTAGAGACCTGACACGGAGGAATGGGACACACTTCTGTTAAGTGCACAAACGTGACTATCATAGCTCAAATTTCTTTTTTTTTTTTCATTTCCCTCTGCACCCCTCGCGATCAATTTGGGACCAGTCCACGGGCTACTGGTTGATCACGATCGACTGGTTGGGACCCCTGGCTATGAGACACTTTCAAATTAGTTATGAGTGGAACAGTTTGCATACAGACAGGCAGTAGCCGCTGCATTAGCCTCAGTGGTGAGTACAATGTAATTTATTTATTGAATGTTTTTTATATTGATAAAGATTGATTGTGAAGTTTTATATTGTACTATAGAGGTTGGGAGTTGTTGAGGTGATGTACTGCAAGATAAAGGTAACTGTTTTTTATCTTTTGGCAATATCATCAAATATGTGAAATGCTCTTTAATGCCACTCTTTTCTATGTGGCTATAAATCGAATGTGTATGCGATGCATGCAGGTGAGAGTGTGTCAGAGATTTGGCTCGAATAAGTTGAACAAACACACTCGACTCAGGAAGGATTGTCTTAAATAAAACTTTAAACATGATATCATTGTGTTCGTCAATTCCTCAAGGGTAACGTCTGTGAATCTGCTGAAGTTGTTTTTAGGAACAGTTAAGTAAAATGCTCTGAAGTGTGAACATAGCCATCATCTTGCGGGGGGTTGTACATTATTTTGTAACGTCCTTCTGGTGTTCAGAGGTGGATTAGGTCACTGAATACCCACTGATATATACTGTGTAGTATGATAGCTACAGTTGCAAGTATGTGAACCCTTTGGAACTACTTGGATTTTCTATTAATTGGAGTGATGACATAAAGACTTTTAGAGATGCTTTTGCATGTCAACAAGCCTTAACCGTAGGCCTTCTGAGAGCTCTTTTGTGCGAGGCATGGTTCACATCAGACAATGCGTCTTGAGAATAACAAACTCCAAACCGGTCTGTTTTTTTTTTTTTATAGGACGGGGCAGCTTTACCCAACACCTTCAATCTTGTCTCATTTATTGGACTCCAGGTTGCTGACTTCTGACTCCAATTAGTTCATTAGCCGAAGGGTTCACATACTTTTTCCACCACGCACGGTGAAACGTTTATATGGTGTGTTCAATAAAAAGACATGAAAACATATTGTTTGTGAGGTATTAGTTCATGCAGACTGTGTTTATCTATTGTTGTGACTTAGATGAAGATCACAACACATTTCATGACCAATTTAGGCAGAATTAGGGAATTCCAAAGGGTTCGCATACTTTTTCTTGCAAATGTTTTAGTATGATTGTATGCAATCAATTCTTTACAGCCACAAAATGTGGATAGTGTATGTATTACAAAAAGCAATTCTTTATAAAATTCTCCACAATAAAATGGACACGCAACTCTTTACCTGTAAAAAAGAAAATCCAAGTGGTGCTTTGAGACAGTTACAGTTGTCCTGAGTCATAATACATTTGAAAGTGAAACATTTGAAACAGTTAACAGTTAAAAACACAACATTATCTAATACTAAAAACATTTCCTCACTGACAGCCATAATAATCTCCAACCACACAGATGTAAGTTTGTCCCAAGAGTTTTGCTGCTGCTGCTGACTAAGCAGTGGACAAGTTTGATCTGATGGAGTCCTCTCGTAACTGGCGGTGCTTCCTGCTGGTAGACTCTTCACTGTGGGCTCGACGCTCGATGGTAATCCTGTAATTTTTTCTGAAAGAGAGTAAATCATATTTATGACATACCTGTTGTAGCAGTTCAATTGTCATAAAATGTGAACACAGTACACCGTACATTATATTAGGGATGCCTGTACTGTATGTCTGTACTCATTCTCATAAAAATGCTGCGACACTAAGGCACGGATGCCAGTTCACCAGCCTAAATAAATACCCTAATTTCCAGACTATGGAGTGCATCTGATTATAAACCATTTTGTACACACACAAGCCGCACCTGTCTATAAGCCGCAGGCGCCCATAATGTAACATGAGATATTTGCAAAAAATGACGGGACACAGAAAGAGGTTTCAACATTTAAGAACTTAACCGTAACTTTACTTTGCCTGTTAACGCTGCAGCACGGCAGTAAAACAGCACTCACACGGCTGGTTAAAAAAAAAACCGTTCCCTGTCGTGACACTCGGTCAACCATTCCTTCATTAGGCTTTCTACCATCCACGCTTTCGTGTCAACTTTCAAGACAATATCCTTCGGGAGGTTTTTTTTTGGCATATGTAACCAGGTGAACAATACTATGACTGTTGTAGTGAACGCTGCCTCGTTTGATAAATGGAGAACTGTCACTTTAAAAGCAGTGTTGGATAATCTCGTGGGAAATCATGTGAGATTTAGACCAGAAAGTGAAGTGAGACGAACGCTGAGCTGTGCTTATTCAGACCTGACGGATCTGCAATCCGCATTGTAACCTGGCTGATATTAAGAGTAAAATATCGTCCTTTTATGGTACTGGATGGTCTCGAAAAGAAATCGGGCTCTTTCTTTCATGACCAGCATAGATCCAGCGGTTTGTAATTTTACAGAGGATCTGCAAGAGAGAGGAATGCGTCGCTGTGGGGGTCTTAGCTGTATTGTGATAATTTGCATAACCAAAAATATTAGGTTGATTGGCTATAACTGCAATGTTGTGGTGGTGTGTAGGAAGAAGGTGAACAACATGGTCAAAGACAGTGCATGACTTCAAAAGTTTGGCAAAAGTTTAAAAACTTGGAATCAACATACTAAATGATGGCGAGGCATTTGGACATGTTTTACGATTTGAAACAATTTCAAATGGTTAGTACTGCCATTCCAAATTGTTATTTTCACGAAAACTGGATTTAGCTACTCTAAGAACAAAGGACTCAGTATCCCTTCTTTGATGCAGTATGTACACAGTAGCACTTCAAAATTAACCAATATAGCCTCAGCAGCAAAACAAGATGAAGTAAGTTGTTTGATATGTGATATATTCCCACTGTGCTCGAAAGTCATTATGGAGACGGATGGTATTTAATAATAATAATAATAATAATAATAATAATAATAATGATAATAATAATACATATTGGATCATTGATTTACTGTACAGTATATCTTTTCAGTTTCGCATGATAGCGAGGATGAGGACAATGGGCTCGACCTGGGGTGCCCAACCTTTTTTGACCTAAGATCTACTTTTAAAGCAACACACCTCCCCTAATCGACCCGTCCACCGCACACACACACACACGCACACGCACGCACGCACGCACACGCGCGCATACACACACATGCCATGAGGAGCGACAGCCATAATGGCCCCAAACATTAACAAAACAGAAAAATCAAGTAGAAACAAGAATTTGTGAAAAGGAAATCACTGCCTTCCTGAGTAGAGACCTGACACGGAAGCAGCGTGTTAAGGGCACGAACATCACGTGTACCATTTTAAAATGCTTCTCTTGGCGCTCCAGATTCCCATTTTGAAAGATTTGAATGAGAATTTAAAAAAAAGATATCGCAGCAGCTCTGATCACGAGCTACAATTGCAGGCTGCTGACCGCTAACAACTTCCGGTGATGCAGGTCAGGCGCCACCGTAGAGTAGCGGTGATGTGCTTTTTTTTTCTTAAAAAGAAATAATTGTTTGTGAAACTGATAGGATGCTTAGGCTGCAGTGCACTAAGACAAAATAATATAATGTTAATAACATGCACACAGACACATTTTTTCTTAATTTCCCCCCTACACCCCTCGCAATCATTTTGGGACCAGTCTGCGGGCTACCACTCGATCGCGATCGACTGGTTGAGCACCCCTGGGATAGACCTAGTTTGATATTTTCCCAGTTGCACTCAGCTCGGCACAGTTAAAAACCCACGTTTTGTGCCGTTGTGGACATAAACACAGCCCGTTTAATTTGCTGCCAATCGAAGCAGCTTCCCCCAGTCCCTTTAAAATCGACAGAAAGTAGAAACTGATTTACTGGAGTCCAAGCAGGAGAACTTCAAGCAGACCTCCACAGGCAGCCAAAGGAGATCACAGACTACCGCTATGAATTGGGCACTTGGAGGCCGCCCTCCACCCCGATTGTATGTGTCTGGATGTGACCACCTCCAATCCCTTCTCACTCTGCCTCAGCACAGGGAGTGATTTTAAAAACATAATTAAGATTAAGATGATAATATTAATTATGCAAGGAGCAGATAATCTGTCGTCCTGTGCTCTGAACAAATTCGGCAAACTAGGCATTACACAACCAACACCAATAATTTGACATGATTCCAGCAGGTGTAAAAGTTTAGTTGACTTTCAGGCACCATATTGTCAGGCGCGCCGGGCGCACGAAAAAGGAAATGCCGTCAGTATGCAAGAACGCCCACCATGGTGCAAGGTGCTCTGCTAAATTTCCATACAGTCAAAATGAGGCTTACACCGGCACAAAAATCCAAATATGCCAGTTTTTATGGGCAAGCACAACTGTGCTGTCTATGACTATAGAGCCCAATATGTTTGAGTTGTGCTTTTCAAGTGCACACATTTTTTTTTTACCTTTTATCTATAAACACCAGTTTTCCACCATTTGGTGATGTTTTTTTTCTTTGTGCAGCTTCATGTGCTACAACATGATTAATGTCTTGTAGAAAATCAGGTCAAGAAGAGTAAAATCTTGTTATTATTCATTTTTGCAAGGGTCCCTGCAATGCTGTCTGTATTGTCTGTCGAGGCATCACTACATGTTTAACTGTAATTACCTGAAAAAATAGAATGCTGTAAGCATTGCAGTTCCCAGAACAGCTCCCACTATGACTCCAGTCAAAGCTGACACTCCGAGCCCACCTGGTTAGAAGAACAATAATAATTGACCACAGCACGTTACATACATAAACGTACAAGTTTACAAGAATATTGGAGTGAGGTATTGATTTTTTACATGATGCATCTGAGATCTCTGCATGTGTTCTCTGTATTCCTTGCAGAGTGAAGTGGTCATACTTGAAGGCTGACAGTGGCTGAAAGCTTCCATTCACACCAAAGTAATTAGCCACAACCTGAAATGATGTAATGAAAATTTTACAGGGGTACATACAATATTTCAAACTTGCAAAGGTGATGTTTTGGTTTGATTTTTGCATCTTACCTCATATGTTCCTGCATTAACATCGGTCATTGCCATCAAAGAGAAATCTCCATTTCTGTCACCATTGACGTCCATTGATACCTGCCCAGCAATTCCTGTGCGCCACAATGAACACAATCTACAATTGAGATAGTACTCACCTTTAGACATGCTGGAGCTTATCTCCAAATCATTTGCTGTACATTCCTCAATGAGTTTGCTAGCTTTTCTCCCAAGAATTAAGTGAAACTGAAATGTCATTTTGGAATGGTAAAAAAAGTGATCACTGAGGTCAAGGAGGGAGGCCAATTAATTCCGTTTTTCAAAAACAGGCTCAAAAATGTTAGCAACAGGTTAATCAGCATTTTCAACTATTTTATGAAACTTTCCACACTCAAGCCATTCTTTAAATTTATAACAGTAAAGATCCATATTACAATGTAATCTGGAGCTCTTTCAAACCACTGTATTGTAGAACCAGTTTTGACAGTAGATGTCCAGCTGATTCATCACAGACAGTGAAATGACAACTTTGAGTCATGAAAGCATATTTTACCTTCAAAAGTTCTGTTCCACATTTTTGATGTGATTTCGGATCCATTTTTCTTATTGTATCCACTTTTCATGGCTTCCTTCAAAGCAACAGCATAAAGCAGCAACGCATCATGGAATCCCTCAACAAACATGTTGACCTAAAATGGCAAATGGGACAGAGGTGAAATGAGAAAGAAGATTTTGATGTACCGGTAGTATTTCTAATTTATTGTTTGGCTTCTCTGGGATTGGCTGTCGACCAGTTCAGAGTGTCCCCTGCCCACCGCCTGAAGCCAGATGGGATGAGCTCCAGCATGCCCGCGACCCTCGTGAGAATAAGTGGTTCAGATAATGGATGGATGGATGTTTGGTTTGTCAGTGGGTCCCATGAGGACAAGCTTATCCAATTTAATTATAAAGAGGAAATTGTGCAAATGTTGTATCAGAGATAACATCAAGCCTCTTTTTTACCAACTGAGCATTTAGAAACCCTGTCACATTCCCAGAGACCAACTCCACTTTTTTTCTGATATCGCCAAGGTCCCAAACATACAATATTTCAAAGATAAACACCCAGTATATTTTATCAGATTAAAAAGATGCTGCAACAAGGATTGAGAGACTCTCCTGCAGTGGATCCAGAATGCTGCTGCACAAGTGCTGATTTGAACTAGGCCTATGGGTCTTGTTTTCTCTCTAACAAGATGACATGAAAAAGATTACAGGCCACATTAGCATTATCCGTCCATTCATTTTCTAATTGGCTTATGTTCACCAGAGTCGGGCGTATGCTGGAGCCTTATCCCAGCTATCTTCTGTCACGTCTGCGAGGTGGTGGTGGACCCCAAAAAGCAGGCAGGAGGGAGGAGCAGGGTGTACTTGAAAGATTGTATTAAAACTCAGAGAAAACGAAATCCAAAACAAACAAAGTCCAAAGTATCAAACAAAACACATGACTGAAGATAAAACATAACACTGACCAAAACATGACTGAAACAAACATGACAGCAAACACACATGACAGCAGCAAGAAGCAACAATGACCCGACAATGATTGCTCGGGCTGGGAGTCCTTTTAAAGCCACTAATTACCTAATGACCAACAGGTGTGCAGCTGCAGGGGAAACCCTACAGTGCCACCTGTTGGTCCCAAACCGAATCATGACATCTTCGGGTAGTAGGCGGGGTACACCCTGAACTGGTTGCCAGCCAATGGCAGGGCACACATCGACAAATGACCACCTAGGGTCAATTTGGAGTGTTCTATTAAACTGCCATGCATGTTTTTGGAACGTGGGAGGAAACTGGAGTACCTGGAAAAAACCCTCGCAGGCCTCGGCAGAACATACAAACCCCAAACCTTGTGCCTCAAAACCTTGTGAGGCGGAAGTGCTAACCAGTCGATCACCAATCTGTTCACAAATTTGTTATTCATTTATGTTCTACTTTTCATTTTTTGGAATCAAGGGTGTGTCAGAGCCAATCCAAGATGAACCTGTACCCTGGACTGGTTGCCAGTGGCACACTGGGCCCCTACTGAATAAACAATCACTCATGCTGACATTCCCAACAGTTTTGATAGAGTCTTCATTTACCTGAAGAAGCATTTTTATGAAAGCTGGAATCCCTGAAGTGCAAACCACCAAAAACTAAATTCATATCAAAAACAAAACAAATCTTAATCAAAAAAGGTAATGCAAACACAAACACAAAAACAAAAACAGAACAAATGGGGAAGGTAATCACCAACACAAGTAAAGAACACTAAAACAAAATAAAAACAAACAAACAAACAAAACAGGTCATTGTAAACACACACACACACACACACACATACACACACATGCATTTTCTGATCCGCTTTATCCTCACAAGGGTCGCGGGAGTGCTGGAGCCTATCACAGCTGTCTTCGGGCAGTAGGCGGGGGACACCCTGAGCCAGTTGCCAGTCAATTGCAGGACACACACAGACAAACAACCATTTGCACTCACACTCACACCGAGGGGCAATTGAGAGTGTTCCATTAACCTATCCACGATCCAAAATCATGCATAAACATGCATGGGCATGTTTTTGGATTGTGGGAGGAAACCGGAGTACCTGGAGAAAACCCACGCAGGCACGGGGAGAACATGCAAACTCCACACAAGAAGGCCATCGAACCCTGCACGTCTGCACGATGAGGGGGTCGTGCTGACCAGTCAACCACCGGGATGCCCGAAAAAGGCAAACATAAACCAAAAATTTTTCAACTAGACAAACAGGTAATTGCAAACACACAAAAATAAAAATAGGTGATGTTAGCAAATTCATTTTTATTCTTATTTAATGCCAGATGCAGCTTAAATGTACTATATTGAGACTACATTTAATGTTCGATGGTTTTTACCCGAACTATTATTTAACACAGGAGACTATGCACCACCGTATCTGGATAGGGTTAGGGGAAAATATGAAACTTAATACATAGCATACTTGTTTAGCTGATTCCTAGCGTTTGTGAAAAAGTTGTACTTTCATTACAATATGATATTTAAACAATGTGGTGTTTTTGACAATTCCCCCATGGATATAATGACTGATTTGTCTGCTCCACGTGTGCGGGCTGCCGGGTTCCTTGTTTATTCTCCGAAACGCTTGTACTGTAGTTTACAGAAGTATCTTCATGAACTGTTATCTGTGACATACCTCCTACGACTCCCATTTTCGGCTGAACAATAACATCAACATTAACATCATGTCCTCTAAACATCCCTCATTTTCCCATTTGGGTAGCATCAGGACGCTAACTTCTGGTCTCTCAGCTACAGCTAGCGATAACGAGAGGATCCGACTCCTCCAAATATACTCGCTGTCTGATGGAATTAACATTAAGTGACTCTAAATGACTCAACTCAACTATATTTACAGAGCACTTCAAAAGAACCACCACTGTATACAAAGTGCAATACATGGAGCAAAAATAAGTCTTACAACAACAAACCATAAAACAATAAATTAATAACGAGCACAGTAGAAGCACAAAAACAGTAAAAATAAAAAGAAATTCTGACTCATGCCTAGTCAAAAGCCAAAGAATCGTAGAAAGGGTTCTGTCAGTCGTCATCTGTACCTGTGGGTAAAAAACAAAAAAACAAAAAACAAAAAAGGACGTTTCGCTTCTCTCACAGAAGCTTCGTCAGCGGTAGACAACCCTGAAGTCTCCGTGAAGACTCCGGGAAGTTGCTCTGCGCTAAAAAGCTGAGCGTGGCCTGTTTGAGGACTGGGTGGGGATGGTTAGTCACGCCCCTATGGTGAAGAGGCCCATTGGTTTCTAAATTCCCTATTATTGGGTCTTGATTAGGCCTATTGTTTGGGCTAAGGCTGAATAGCTACTTTCAGTTAGCCTGATCAGCATGTCTATGTCCTTTACTGGTCAACAAGTTATTGTAAATAGGAGACAGGTTAAATCTGATACCTCAGAGAGGGTGAAAATTTTTTAACAAAAATCGCTTCCTTTACTCCCCTTTCAAACCATCTCTTTTCTGTTCCTAGGATTTTTACTTGTTCATC